CACTATGAGATTATTAGAAGGAATACATTTAAAAGTATAAGAAGCTCAGTTAAAAATAATTCTCTTTCATTCTTACTAGAAATAGGTGTTTTTATATTTTCCACCTCCTTTCGTGGAAATGTACATAAAAGCCCTAACCTTTGGAAAGGAGGTTAAACACTCCAGCTGAGTATTGAGTGCTAAGATGACGAGTGCATTTTCAGTTTCTTCAACGTTTTGCTTTACATGTGCGCTGAAAACGATAAAAACAGAGTAGGTACTTGTATTTCAATTTTGTTTTCAATGCAAAAAGAGTGAAAATGGTTTTTCTCTAAGGTGGCTTAATGATTTCATGTCCCCAGCTAAGGGACGCTAGTACTGTTAGTCTTAAATTTTATTGTGTAATTGCTTTATAATATACCGAAAGTAACATTGATGTAGTGATAATGAAAGTTAGAATAAGTAAACAGAATATTTGAAAAATATAAGAAAAAAACCAATCATTTAGCAAATATATTTACAAGTTTAGTCCCTTTTGAAACACTTTAATGTATACTGTGATAGCGTCTATAACAAAATATTTAAAATGGTATACAGAATTACACCAAACAGTTAATTTAGTTTTAATAAAATAGATATTCAATGGAAAAAAATAAAACTAAATATTTGTTAAAAAGTATAATTTAATCATAATTCAAACAACAATGGCAATCGTGTTAATTGTCTAATTGAAATAAATTGCTATACACTTATAAACAAAATCTTTTGAAGACGGTCGTAAATTACATATGAATACACCTTATATATCTAATTAGGCATTGCCCTCGAAATAATATTATATAGTTTTATAATACAAATAAATTTTTAAAGTTCATGTTCATTCCCAACTAGCTCACAAACTGATTCTTGGCTCTTGTTCAGTTAAGCTAAGATGTCGATATAACAGCCATTTAATGGCCCTTATAGTGGTATAAAAGAGTATTATGACGCTCTACAAGATATAGTCGGAAATGTAGCCGCACAATGGTACCCAATAATCGTTTAAGTTTTACAAGTGTGTGTGATAGTTCTCTTGAATAGGCATAGGATCTTAAATAAAAATTCAAAAATCTGTTGTAACTCTATTAGACCTAGCTGACCTGATAAGGTGTAAATGGTCTTGAATGAAGTTAAAAACCTCTCTTGTAGCTCTTTAAGAAGTATAAGTCATGTATACTCTACCGTACCATTGGCAACCCGCCTTTATAAGACTAGGTCATACTGGAGCGCACTATACCTCTTCCATACCGCTTAAAGTGTTGCACTGTTAAATTATCTTAGATTATACAACTAAATACTGGAGTGGAGCTTTATACGTAGTAGTTATTATACTGATGAAAAAATTGCAATCTTATTAATATCGCATCGCCACAATGACACTGAAGGTGATTTTATTTATGTATGATGGACAGTAATTTTTGTTCCAACTTTTTGTAAAAGTTGTATTATTATAATATTAAAAAATAGTAACAATACTGGTATTGTCTTGCCTTTTTCTTATTCGACACTCCCTCACATTAAACTTTAATTTTAAACCAATGACAGATTTATTAAAGATGTACAAAGGTGTATAAATAGAGGCAAAGTTGTACAGTGGCGCTATAATACCTTTTTAAAACTAAGGAAGTATATTCCTACACTGTTAAAGAGCTGTTATATCGCCACACTAAAACGTTTGTAAGGCCACTATAGAGAGCTTGAAGAGTTATAAGTTGCATAATTTGTGCCCAATTTTTTTTTTTTTTTTTTTTTCCGACACACACCAATTAGCCTAGCCCCAAAGTAAGCACTGTAAGGCTTGTGTTATGGGATGCTAGGGTAACGGATAGAATACATATACAGTACATATATAAGTATATTTATATAGAAATACATATTAAACATCCATGACTGGAGTACAAATGCTCGTATTCATCACACAAACATCTGCCCCCACCGGGATTCGAACCCGGGACCTCTCGAGTCGGCGACACCATGAAACCCGGCGTACAAACCACTCGACCACGGAGGTCGTCAATTTGAAGGTAGAAAAGCTCTGTAGCCGCTTATATAAATACTGTAGAGCTTCTTTATACGACTGTAACCGTCGCCAGTTTCAATTAAACGGCTGTTATAACACTTTTTATAAAGCCAGTGTACTAGTTGGATACTATGGCACTTTCTAGTCTATATTTTTTCTTGATTTGTTTTAACAGTGAAATTAAATGAAAGAATTGAATGAACGAAAAAAATGTGGCGATGTATTTAAAGTTTCACTTTTAAAAACTTTAAAGATGTTCCGTTCATTAATCTTTAAGATAAAGTTTCTCTAAGGTGTTGATGGAGTTAAATTGCCTGATGTTTCCCGGGTGTGCCATAATGTTTTGTACCGTCTGCACCAAATTTATCAAAAGGACCATAATGACGCTCTCGCATTTGAGTTGCAAACTTTGTAAGTGTTAAAATACTAACGAAACATTTACACATAGATGTAACAATTTTTTGTTTTATTAAACCACGATATAAGTGAAACTTTCAAAATCATTAATAAAAATAAGTCCTTCCTTGGCTGGGATTCGAACCCGGGCCGCCCGCGCAAAAGGTGAGCTTTCTACTACTGAAGCACCGATGCTCGTTAAAAAGGTCTGATTTTTTATGATATCAAAAATTTACTGCGACTTGCTAAACATAAAGGAAATTAGTGTGCATGGGCCACACATCTTAAGTAAAACTTCTTTTTTTAAATAACCTAACATTAGGCGGTGCATAAGGCATAGGGGAATGGAGAAGTACACGCATCACTCATATAAATGTATCGCAGTCATCTACTTGAATCTGCTATTTGATTGAATGACTAGCGCGTTCATTGAATGACGACATTTAAGTGAATGACAAATTCAAGATTTGTGATAAGGGGGTTAGGTTAGTGTTGTAATATGAGCTTATCGCGAGCCGAGCGAACATGCCGCGGCAGCGGCCGGCGAAGCGCCTGCCACCTGATAGATAGATAAATTAATTAATCTAAACCTACAAATGCCTATTGTATTTGTAGGTTTTTTTTTCTCTTCGTGCTGTTTGACGCCATATTTGTTTTGGTGACTACTAGCGCCGCACCGGGAACTAAATTTCAATCACCTGACTGATTTTACGTCCGCTCTGTTCAAAGGGCTATGTTACAATCCGCTAACTAGTTGGACGTTGAGTGACGCTTGTTCAATCAACGTTTTGCTTGGCTTAGTCATTTAATTAAATATCATCATTCAATGAACGCGCTAGTCATTTAATCAAATAGCAAATTCAACCAGATGACGGCGATATATATATATTGTCGCATGTGACGCTCGTGATGCTCGTAACGTTTCAGCCTTGCTGAGTTTAAGCGGGAGCACGCAGCGTACGTCCACTCCGCGTGCTGTTTCATGACATGCGGAACCCGCCCCACGGGCGACGACAGAAGATCGAGTGTGCCTACTCGATCTTCTGTGCTCTTGTCTGTGTCGTGTTCTGTCTAGGTTGTATTGATAATCCGTGATCATTCGATAATGGATTATCAATAAAAATAATCCATTATCGAATGATCACCCGCACGATCGAAATTGTACTGGTGGCACTGCGAGAGGCGGGGAAGTCCGTTGTGGGTCCAGCAAGTCCGCCCCGTACTCCCGCTTAAGGCAGCGGAGGCTCTTAAATAAATAATAGCTAAAGCAAGTGTATGCTATGAATCCAACCTCAAGCTTTAAAACTATTTCGTGCTTTATTCTGTTTAGTCAACTCACTCCTCTAAGATTATATATATGAGGGAACAAACGACACTTAATGCTCTGCGCTTTGTGTCGAAGTTTGATATTTTAGTGAAACCTGACGTGATATTGTCCTAGAAATATATACATTATTATAGGAATAATCATTTCATCGTCTCATGATAAAGCACCTTTGAACCTCTGCCTCTTCTCAACGAGATGTTTGACATAAAGCTGTATATTCATTAACTTTACGTATTTTAACACTTACATGATATTTGATTATTTTACATATACCTGTTATCTGATTTCGTAGAGATAAAATCATTTGTACACTTAATTACACTATGCCTAAGTTAATTGTTATATTCATACTTACAGTTAGCAATTAATATTTACAGAAATATTTGTATAAAGAAAACGTTTTTTACGTTATAAGTTGCCTTCGCCGAACTTCTCAGAATAAGGTATTCGTAGCGTTGCATTTATTTACGCACATTTCTTTTCATAAAATCAATGAGCTTATTTTTCAAGTATTCACGAATTTATTGCTTATTTTCGCCTTTCCGTTTTGTACTGATATGACTTCTCTTGTCGATTCAATTTGATCCTTGCACGTGTTTGGCATTTGCTCTGCCAACGAGTGGCATGAGTCGTCATTAAAAAATGGGTTTATTCGGCCTGACTCGGCAAAATATGCACAATTCATCGCTTGTCGATTTTTGGTACGAACGTACGCAGGTATCTTATAGTACGCAGATTGCGTATTTATGATTTCACGCACCTTCCGGCTCGTCATTTAACCTCATCAGCGTAAAAGTCTATCTGTACTGCTGTCTTTTGATTAAGTACTTCTATTTTACTGCGGGCAGTTTTCCGCAACTCGACATTCTATGCCTACAGTGCGTAAGGAATGGCATCAGACCAGCCATACCAACTCCGCTAGGAAGCCCAGCGGTCCACAGATATTACTGCAGATGTGTAATTGTGTCTACGGACTTCTCATGAGTGAAATTCTTTGTCTAGCATCGCCTTTGTACTTTAATAGGACCGCTCGTCTCCTCCTTCTCTAAGCAGGTCCTGCACTCTATTATAAACACCCTTTTCACAGCTTCAACGTATAAACAAAAACCTGGATTAATGTACACATCTCTTGCAGTACTTCTGCACTGCCCGATACCCTTGTAGTGTGAAGGGGCGTATCTTGAATATTCAGCTGACAGAGACCTCGACAATAGTACACTACGGCCTCTAGCTCGTAGTCACCGATTGTTATAAACACCTTTTTCACAGTTACAACAACATCAGCAAAAGCCTGGATTAGTGTGTTCAATGACGCATCGCTTGCAGTACTTCTTCACTGCCCGGTACCCTCGTAATGTGACAGGCGTATCTTGGATGTTCAGCTGACAAAGACCTCGGCAATAGTACGCTACAGCCTCTAGTCCATCGTCACCGATCAGCTCGCAGCCCCGAAGCGCGAGTTTCTTGAGGTTAGGACAGCAGCGTGCTAATATCTGTATTAACAGAAAATAAATATATTATTAATCTAAATAAATAAAAGAAAAAAGAAACTGACATATCAACGCACAGCTCAAACTACTAAGTCTAGAGTCTCCAAAGGCACGTAGGTTCCTTATGAGGTCTAGGGGTGCATTAAGAAAGGATTTTTCAAAATTCATCCCCGAAGGGGTTAAAAAATAGAGGATGAAAGTTTGTATGAAAAATTTAATTTTTTTGTAACTTGGCATAAATACTTATATAAATAAATTATAAAGTTTGTCATTTTTAGTTTTCCTAAACCTCAAGGGAAACGCGGGGGTGCCGAAGTTTTTATAAGGATTAATTTTAACGCGCCTATCGATTAACACGAAATTAATATTATATGTGTATTTTTACTAAAGAAATAAAGAATAACGTGTATCAGTGTTTTTCAAAAATCTACTTCTAATAGTTTAAAAAAAAGGGATGCAAGTTTGTATAAAAAATCTTATTCTTTGAGTTACTAGAATTAAAACTTGGTACGAATACTTCTCTGAATGAAGAATAAAGTTTCCCATTTTTATTCGTCTAAACTACCCCTAATGGGAGGATTGGAGAGTGATGAAGTTTTTATATGAATTAATTTTAAAACGCGTTCGATTAACTCGAAATTCAGTATTTATACTTGAAATAAGAAATAAAGAATAACATGTATCTAGATTTTTGAAATTCTACCCCTGATGGGTAAAAAAGTGGATGAAAGTTTGTACGAAAAATTATATTCCTTGGGTTAATATACGTGAAACTTGGCACAAATATTCTAAAACTCGATACTTAGATTTCTTATGAGGTCTAATTATTTTATCCGAAACTTCACTCCTATCGATAAATGAGTAAATATTTTATTCAGGTTTTTCAAAATTCAACCCCTAAAAGTTGGAAATGGGGTTACAAAGTCTCAAAATCTGCATGGGTATTGTTTGTATGGCTTATCGGGATGCTGATTATGAAAACAACAACGATTTTAAAATCCAACTAAAAAGGGTGGACGTGAAATACCATCATCAAGTATAACTTATAAGGGTTTCATTATTCCATTTTGAGATATGGAATGAGAGTCGCGTTATCCTAATAAGTTTTTAAATTTGTATTTGGTACCATCGCAATCGTCGACAATCGGTACCTAGGCAAGTGCTAAATCTTATTCTTTGAGTTAATAGAACTAAATCTTGGTAAGAATACTTATCTAAATAAATTATAAAGTTTGCCATTTTAGACTGACGAAAACGCAGAATGGATAAAAAATAAACTAATGCTCCGCAGCCGAAAGTATTAAAATATTACTTTACTAGTAGGTCAGTGGTTCTTAAATCAATCAGCGTTCTTCCTTACGTAATATATTTTCGAATGGCTTAGCGGACCACTTCGGGCGCTTCCAGGGACCACCAGTGGTCCGTGAACCACCGTTTAAGAACCCCGGCACTAGGTACTCATGGCAGTCGGGCTAGTCTCTAGCACTGCAAAAGTCTTAAATAGTGACCATTTCAGACGTAAAAATGGAACATTTACCTGCAAACCTGCTTCTGAGACGTCAGTTGCTCCTAGATCTAAAGCCCTTAACCTGGAGCAGCCGCGGGCGACAGCTTCCACCCCATCATCACCAAGAGCTCCGCAGCCACGAGCGTTTAAATACCGTAGTTTATAGCACCGTCGGGCTAAAGTACGGATGCCCGAGTCTGACACCTGCAATAAACATGTGGGTTTAGTTTCAAGAATGTTTGCTTGCTATATAATGTGAATGTAAATGAGATTTCTGAACGACCAGAAGAGAGAAGTGTGTCATCATCATCAACCTATTAATAGTCCCACTGCTGGGGCACCGGCCTTCCCTATGGATGGAATAGGGAGTTTGGGCCATGACCCACCACGTGGGCCCAGTGCGGATTGGTGGGTGAGAGAGAGAGAAGAAGAGAGGAGTGTGTATAAGAAGGGAATCTTAATGACGACGAAAGTTCTTGTAAAGTGGCTATGACGATGCCCGCGCACAGTTCTAAGTATTATTTAGGTTTAATTAATATAATTTTCTTACGAAACTTTCTTACTTAAGAATTATCAATTGTATGTACATAAAGATTAATGTTAAGATGACCCACGGAAGCGAAACATGGTCGTTGACTATGGGTCTCATAAGAAGTCTCAAGATCGAACAGCCGGCAATGAGAGAGCGATGCTTGGTATTTCCCTGCGTGATAGAATCAAAAATGAGAAAATTCGCAGTAGGACTAAAGTAACCGACGTCGCTTTAAGGATTGCTCGGCTGAAGTGGCAGAGGGCGGGACACGCAGCGAGGACAAGCAATGGCCGTTGGGGCGGAAACGTTTTCGAATGGCGACCACGCACCGGACGACGCTCGGGAGGCAGGCAGGCCCACCAGGTGGATCTGGTGAAGGTCGCAGGAAATCGATATGGAGATCCTTTGGGGGAGGCCTTTGCTCAACAGTGGGCATCGTACTGATGAGATGAGGAATCTAAGCTTACACGTAACCAAATTTTGTAACGCAAAAATATTTGCATTTAGAAATAATAAAAAAAAATCTTACTTGTGTACACTTTGCAACGGAGAGATACCGAAGCGCCGGGCCCAGTTTCGCGAGCTCGTACAACCCGAAGTCCGTGACACCAGTGCAGTCGGACACGCTCAACTCTTTCAGAGCGCAGTACGAGGGAATCCACCGGACACCGGCGTCTGAAACAAATATGTAACAATTTATCGTTTTCCTTTTCCTCTAAAATAGGCTGAATGTCATCATTATCATCATTAGCCTATTAATGTCCCCACTGCTGGGGCACAGGCCTTCCCTATGGATGGAATAGGGAGATTGGGCCATGACTCACCACGCGGGCCCAGTGCGTTTTACTGGGTGCTAACGACTACAGATGGAGCCGGAACCAACAGCTTAACGTGCCTTCCGAAGCACGGAGAAACTCGAGATACAAGTTTTTTGATCACCCATCCAATGACCGACCACTGCGAAAGTTGCTTCACTTCAACGATCGCAGCCGAACGTGCTAACCACCCGCGTCATCGAGCTGCTCGGAGGCTGAATGTAATGGAGTATAAATGTTATATTGTTTAAAACTTTCATGGTCTAGCATTATTGTAATTTGCGAGATTACTTCCATGTACCCTGTATTTCGTGTCCCGGTATTCCGACAAGTACCACCAACATGGAGTAGAAGTTGCACCGTAAAACAAAAATCCTATTAATACACTGTACGAATCAGAGTTCCGTCAGTGGTGCAGCGCAGGTGTAGCACGTAACACGGTTTACACTGGACAGCAAAGAAATCGGGTCATTTTCTACCTCGGAACTCTGATTTTGATTATCTCAAAAAGTATAAAACTTAAAACGAAAGTGCGTTTCATGATCTCTGTCGAAGAAATAAATAAATGTTTATTGAATTTCAGTATACAATAAATTACTTAATTCTAAAAATAACAAAAGATATGTAACTTATACTATAGCCTGAACTAGGTAAACCTGTGTTTCAGACAAAAGTCTTCTACAACTAAATTTATACAATAATCAAAACTATAATTTGTAATATAAAACCAAAACAATAATTGACTAAAGAGAGCATTATAATATACTATAAATTAAAATATACTCTAAGATAAGGAACCATTTAAATAGCAAGAACAGAGTAGGATTTAATCAATATTACATTAATTTTGCATTGCATTTGCATGGTTTTAAAATTTTTACAGTACTATGACGCTGTCGTAATCTTCTACCCCCTAATTAATAAATGACTATTTACGCCGTGTTTTGTTTCTATCAATCATTGAATAACAAATTATTGATCATTCGTTATTCAATGAACAGAGACAAGGCATAGATACACTTATCCAAGCTTATTCATCGTTTGTTAATAAGGCGGTTAATGATTTTTTTTTTATTGTAGTAATCCTTGTGCGTACAAAATATATGATTTTGGTCAATGCATCTACCCGGATAGCGGAGATTGCGGGTTCGAGTGCCGTCCGCTGCCTGGTCCACGTGAAATGTTTTAAAAAAAATATTACTCTATGAGTTTATCTTATTACTATACTAATTAGAAACAAATAAAGTAATTCTAAAAGTCAAATTTCTAAAGTAAAAACACTACAAGTCCTTATTAATGTTAAACGATTCGAGGAACTTTTATTTGAAAGCAGAAGTTGTGGAAAGTTAGAACGAATATCCCTAAGTTTTGGGACTAACCAATGAATATTATGATATAGAAACAAGATTAGAGGGGAGTACCGCGAAGGCGATAAGTTCAACAGCCAGCAGATTCTGCGAAATGAGAACCGAAACAACAGATAAAATAAATAATATCATATTACGGTCGAAGTAATTGATGGGCTATTTAAAGATAAAATAAGCGATCAATCAAAAGATACACCGATATTAAGGTTAGGTAGTTTTTAGGGTTCCGTACTTCGAAAGGAAAAGACGGAACCCTTATAGGATCACTTTGATGTTCGGCCGTCCGTCTGTGAAGACCATTTTTTTAGGAAAGTATGAAGGTATCAAGCTGAAATTTATATCCAATACTCAGATCCACTGTCCCTTGAAGCTGGGAAAGAATCAAACTTCTAAGCCAAAGCAATCAAAAGATACAGCCGTTTATGCTGCAAATTTCCGCAAATCCTCATGAACTCAGAATCTTGAAATTTGGTACAAAGCAACGTCGTTTACCACAGATAAAGGAAAAATTGCGAACACCGTAAATTTTTAGTTACATCACTTTTTTTAATAATTATCATATACCTACAGGTTTGTACGGACCCCTGGGTGTGCGAGTCCGACTCGCACTTGGCCGGCTTTTTCTTTTGTTGTTACCAGTAATTGTTACAAACTAAGTTCATTAGAACCGTTGTGATAACTGATTAAAAGGGCGATGTCGCATCATCGAATTTGTCGGATTATAGAGTTACTGTCTAAGGAATAGAATAGAAAGAAATTTAGGATTTTCTTAATAGAATTATCTTGTAGTCCGACAACTTACAAAACCAAATATCTACTTGAATTGATATTTATGTACAATCAAAATTGATAAGCAGGTCAGATTCCAGGGGCGCCGGAGTAACAATTAAAATGTGGTTGTAACATACATGCCCCCTTATTAATAAACAATGACTACGCTTGGATTAGTTACTCCATGTTTTGTCTCTGTCTATTTAATGACAAATAGCATTTGAATGTTATTTTTCATGAACAAACAAGACGGCGTAACTAGTCTAAGCTTATTTCTTGTTTATATTAATAAAGGAGGATGGAGTTTAAAACAATTTTACTGTACTTGTCTCGATATCGATATGTCTGAAGTTATCGATTTGATAATCTTTTTATTTTAGAATAAAATATATCAATATTCGCGTTTGAACCGGGTATAATGGTCGATCACTAAAATATTGTGTTATTTATTCTAATTCATCTATAAATATGTTAATTATACGGATTATAATAAATTAAAGAACAAATTGCGGCATAATTAAAAAGACACCAGAACAAATCAGAATACAAATCTTAATTGAAATATAATATTTAATTAAACATATACTTAATTAATGTCACAAAAGTCCATAATCAATATTTTTAATGAGTTTTTTGTAACAATTCCAATTAAGTATACATAGATACCCGTACATAAAATAACTGAGTTATTTGGTCTAGCCTAGTGTCGATATTAAAAAATTATATATTCATAGCTGCTGTAGGTATATACCTAATCAAGGAGAATTAAGTAAGGATCGTATAAATTCGAATAATATCATTTTAATCTCGAAATGATTGGACGATAGAACTACAGGGGCCCAATTCTCGTTTCAATCGAAAAAATAAAGAAAGAAAGTAGAAATCAATTTTTCGGCTGCTGTATTGATGTGTCATGACGACGACACAAGGTTACACTATCTCTAAAATACTGCAGCTAAAAATTTGAAAAAAATGGAAATGGAGTCACAACATCGGTAAGGTTGTTAAATCATTGACGAGGAACCCCTGTCGTGGAAATGACTGCTACTTGTAATTTATTTTTTATGAAGTCAATGATAAATTCGTCAATCACTATAAATATGACAAAAATATTTGAATATGACTTACACGGTGTGAAGTTTGTAATGTCGAAAGCAATACGTTAGGTCTTTAACGGTTCCGAGCACTCGAAGCAATTCGAGCGGTATTCTTTTGAAAAACGTCGCATTCGACATTATGAGAATAGCACTATTTAATTTTTAATCGAAATCGAATTCGAACTTTTTCGAAATTCTAAAAAAAGTTCGAATTCGCTATTAACTCAAGTGCATGAGAATCGGCCCCCAGGGAGCGAAGTAATCGAAGAACCGTAAATCAAATATAATGCTTTCCGCATACATTATATCCCAAGTCGTATTTCGTACGGTAAATACGCAATAGCATGTCGACAAAAGAGACGATGATGGGATAAAGTAAACGAAATTCTATTTTGTCCGTCCGTCAGATTATCAAAAGTATAGGACGCTTTTTTTCTTTTGTAAATCAACTAAAAATTGCGAGTTTTGGGAGTGGGGCTTCGTGACGTCAATTGTAAGTAAAAATTGTAATAACACGTGACATCATACGACTTTTCAAATCAATATATCTCAAGGTGTAATGTTTAGATAAGGTGAAAAAAGAAGAATACGTGTCCAATACTTTTTGATACTACCTGATAGGTGAAGAAAAAAAGTCATTCATCCATATTAGTCAAAAAAATATTTAGTAGGTAATCCAGCTTCCATAATCACAAAAGTAAGATCACCCTATCAACTCAGTACATTAAATTGCTATGTCTTGATATAATAAATAGGAAAACACTTGACGAACATAATATTTATCATAAATCTTGAAAATAAATATGTGCACCTAGACAATCTGAGATCGTTCCGTGCACTGCTTGTGTCAAACGCGAACTTCAGTGCTATTCCATAAAATTTTCACGCGCGGTTCCGATATAAACCCACGAAAGTGTGAAAATTTTACAAAATAGCACTGCTAAAATTGCACGTGTTAATAAATTAGCTGTTATAATTGTCTGTTTATTAGAATAATGGATATGGATAATATAAAAAAGTGGTGAAAAAGGATTTATGCAGGCCAGCAAGGTGAGGACGCCTAGTGTGACTTCAAAAACTGTTGCACTCTTTGCACTATCTTTGTGTCTAGATCCCATTTAATTGCCTACCTTATTGTGAAACAAAATATGAATAGCAGATATAGAAAATTTATCCTAAACCTTATAGAAGTCATCTAAATGTGTGTAACATTATTAATATAGAACATTATGCCTAAGAAGTACTATTCGGCCATTAGGGCCGCGGTAGCAGTATATTGGTCAGCCCATTCGCCCGGATAGGTTTGTAGGTTCGAGTCCCGTCTGCTGCCTGGACCGCGTGGAATTCTTTCTAGTGAAAATTTCTGTAGATTTTAACATCTAGCAGTTAAATGCTTAAAAAAAATAAACTACGTAAATAACACTGTAATTTAGTGATGTCTCCTTGCAATTTCTAAGGTTGTCAAACCTCCAAGAAACATTTAGATGGGATCAGAACATATACCAGATATATATTGCGATTCAACTAAGAATAGGACCGACTTGACGCCATATTGTGAAGTCATAGCTGTCGATTCAAAACAAATAGGTAGAGTGAGCAAAAAAAGATTTTATTTAATAAAAGTTGTTTACTCAGATTAATAGAGAAAAAGCAACAGATTTTTTTAATAACATTTATTTACTAAGATGGAGAAAAATAAAACCACCGATTTTTAATAATATTTATTTATTAAGACTGTGGGAAAAAACATTAATCAGAATCTAGCTCTTCTATTCCGCTCATCTCTGCATTACCGCCGGAGTAGTTATGAATAATCATGCACTATTACTAGGTCACATACTAACATGCATCCTTTATGTAAACGAAAGTTTGAAATTGAGTTTCTGAACGCAACTTAAAGTGACATTTGTTTGACGATTTTGGTTATGAACCATTCATGGCTAAAGCTCAATAAGTGAAAAAAACATATCAACCGATATTAATTGTCAAAATTTGTTATTGTTTGTTTACAAATGCTTGGTTTTTATTCTTGAATTAGCGGAGTGCTAAAAATAAGGGTTCCAAGTTTTTTTTTTTCAAACCGTACTTTTCAAGCGACATTTGACAGATAGAGGTCATTGGCTTTCCTATTCTTATTTGAATCGCATTATACGTGGATTTACACATGATTCGTACTTCATTGCATGCATCACTGTTTCTTTAAAACCTTAGCTATGACCCCTAACTTTAATAAAGCCTGGCCTATTTGCTAAGGCGGCCGCTTAGGTATCATCAGAAGTAGGCGGGCCATATGCTTGCTTACCACATTTTTTGCAATAATGAATGTTTCTGGTTTAATGTATCGCTCCTGTAAGGCGGCAGTGCTATTGCTGCTGTAAGAAAAAAACTCACTTTCGATTCCGCGGTACAATTCCCGGGGTGATTTGAAATTAGAATGGTAGTGGTAAAAAGTAAGTTTGTTCTTACAGCATAGAGCACTGCTGCATATGTTTATGTAGGTACGATACTACAAGACAGTTAAACGGTCATTAACTAAATAAATAAATGAATAACATTCAAAATTTCATTTCACAAAGTAATCGCATCACTGTGAATAGACTCCCTTAACATTTACAATTTCATTTTACAAAGTAATCGCATCACTGTGAATAGCCCCTTTGGTTATTTTCAAGGCGCTTTTATTTCTCTTTCGTCATTGAAATTTATTCAACTTTGAAAGGAAGCATTTTGATAATTCAGAGCTCGGAATTTTTCGACGAGTCGTTGTAAGAGACATTAATAGTTCCTTCCTTATTAAATGGTAAGTTTTATTCATCTTCTCTGTGTTAAATTTCCGAGACCTTACTCCAGTTCGAATTAAGTATTTATTGAACTAATAAATGCTACTAGTTTTTTATTTAAAGGAATAACTTTCTAATCATAGAAAAAAACATTAATTTCGTATAATGGATGTCTATATTGGATATTTAATAGCTAAATCACGGAAAGTCCAATAAAATGTTGCAAATGCAAACGAGCGCAATGCAAATTTAATGACGGTGATTTATGCTAAGACTGAGCCACAGATTAGTCTTACTGTCCACTTGTGGAGAAATATGAAGTATAACGACGCTACGCATCGCTCCAAGCTGAAAGTAAAATATGCACACCGTGTTTGATTTACAGCTCAGTTGTGCAACGTGTGTGCCTGTTAGTACTTTTATAGTTATGATTTACTTCGTAGACGGATAGTTTGCTGCAACTCAGTTATTCTTGTTATGAATGTAAAGAACGTCAGTAATCAATTACGCGCAAATAAGAATAACGTGTGCAAACGCAAGAATTTTGCATGTGAATCAACATATTTATAGCTTGCTTTAATGTATTGATTAGATAACACAATTTATTATTCCGTTCTTTCCCTTATTAAATTAGATATACCTAAACATAATTACCATAACAATTGTTTCTGAATAGCCATTAATTATAAAATTATTACCTGTCTCAGAAACAAGATGTGTGTGTATTATGGAATTTAATAACTATAATAATTCTATGACTGCTATCAATCCGAATCAAAGAATAGAATAGGTACTTAAGAATAAAATGAAATAAAAAAAATATTTCCAAATTCCATGTCAGTTATTTTAGTACCGTAGCATGACTGCCCCGACAGATGTTAACTCACACACGCAGACAGTAAAATAATTTCAAATATGATAAGACGATAGACTACTTTTGTCTTTCAACATCGTTTTGGGGTTTATTGAGATGCAGCATATATCATTGTATACCTAAAGTACATAGGTTGTTAACTTTTTATTTATATAATAATTATATTGCACATTTTTCAGGTACAATACATCTCTGAATTCTCGATATCAATTTGAACGATAAAACGTGCAGTGCAATGCCCTGTGAACATAGGGTCTAATGACTGCCACTTTTCGGGCAGTATTATACTAATCTTGCTATGCTAATTTCATCATATACTTTTCTAATACTCTGCTGACAAGTTTAATTAAATATCGTGTAGGCAGATTTACTTTCGAATCGCAGAGCCGCAGAGTGTTGTACTCCTGCAACGGGATGAAATCAGTGAGCGATACTTTGGGTTGGCAAGCATCTATAGTCTACGAATAGCTGCTACCATCAGGCATTTAGCAATATCAATAGAGTTAAGGCTACGAAGGCCTGTTAACGATAGAAAAAACCGGCCAAGTGCGAGTCGGACGCGCACCGAGGGTTCCGTACAAACCTGTAGGTATATTTTATTAATTATTAAAACTATTTTTTATTATATGATGTAACTAAAAATTTGCGGTTTTCGCAATTTTTCCTTTATCTGTACTATAAGACGTTACTTCATACCAAATTTCAAGATTCTAAATTCACGGGAAATACCCTGTAGGTTTTGATTTCCGTGCGAGTTTCGAAAATTTGAGGAAATTTGCGGCAACGGCTGTATCTTTTGATTGCTTTGGCTTAGAAGTTTGATTATTTCACAGCTCCAAGGGACAGTAGAGCGTTCCTGAGAAAAACGGTCTTGACAGACAGACGGACGGACGGACGGACAACAAAGTGATCCTATAAGGATTCCGTTTTTTCCTTTTGAGGTACGGAACCCCTTAAAAGTATATAAGTATATTTTTGCCGCCCTTTTTGCATAAAAAATACTTTACCTGTGACTAGAGTGCAGCGTCTTAAGTACAGATACTGCAGCGATGGACAGGTATGTAGCAGCGCGCAGAGGCCGGCATCAGTGACGGAACCGCAGTCCGTCAGGTCTATGTACTCAACGGGGGGTCGTCTAGTAGTCAATCGGCTTTCAAGCCAACCCCATTCTGGCCAGTCCACGTTGGGGCAACCTGAAACAAACCAACGAATACAGCTTTTCTGTCAAACGTAAACCTTAGTGTTGCCAGGTCCGATTTTTAAAAATCGGGAGGCGTTATAGAAAAATCGGAAGGCGTTATAAAGCAGCAGATACAGAGGCGTACTTTTTCCGATTTGCAACCCCCCCCCCCCCCTTAGAATTGGTAAATCAGTCAGGTTTTTGGCAGGTCAGTTGGGCCAGTAACGAATGTGTTTCTGTAGCTTCTGCCGTCCCTCAAAGCTGTTTTTTTAGACAATAACATTTATTTTATAATCATTAAGGTTACCTATATTCTTAATGGGGGAAAATGCATCTCAACATGCAATTTAAAAAAGAAAATCGTATTCTAAGAAAAACAGTAGATTCATGTAGAAAAAAAGTAGAACAGGAGAAATTCCAGAAAAACAGGACATCTCCTATAAAATCGGGAGACCTGGGAACATTGGTTATCCTTGTCAGCAAATAAGTACCAGGGGTGTAGTCTGTCTATTTGCTACGTACCCTTCAACTGTTGAATCGATTTGTATAAATATTGGCGATAAATCCTATGTGCTCTTTCACAACTAAACGGTTGAAGTGAACATAGAAGTCAAAGAGGATCTTGGAGAATAACTTAAAGACTACAACTATAATTATGAACTATTCCGTGTTTCGGAAGGCACGTTAAGCCATTGGTCCCGGCTTCATCTACAGTCGTTAGCACCCGCCAATCCCCACTGGGCCCGCTTGGTGGGTCATGGCCCAACCTCCCTATTCCATCTATAGGGAAGGCCTGTGCCCCAGCAGTGGGGACATTAATAGGCTGATGATGATGATAATTATGAACAAAAATAATTCTTGAAATAATGAGAACTGGATGGTTGAACTATTTTTCCAGGAGGACACGGGCACCCGGGCGCATGCTGAGTATAGTTGTCTTATTTTATTGGTTTACCTTACATGGTTATCCTTTTATTTAATCCAGTTGACCGTTAATTCTTCAAAATTGTATCTATTCCACGAAATCTTACAGTGGAATCGAATGTTTCATTTGCTCCAAATATAAATTTGTTTGCTTTGAAAGGTCTTAGTAACTCAATATCTTAACTTGATTACTCTGTTATTCAAATTAACAGAGGCCTATAGAAAAGTCCGTTTTGTACTAAAATTCTTTCAAAGAAGCAAAAGGGCGATTATCAAATTAAAGGAAAATTTACTTGTGTTAAAAGTTTTTATATTTTAGAAAATGTACTCAAAAAGACATTTCTTGACTGACTCTACACTGTTTATTGAATATCTTTATTTTATTGTTTGCTGTTATTTCATAATGAAACTCATTAATTTTAATTAATTAGGTTAATAGTGTTCCGGTGTGAAACTACAAAATTATCTTTATTCTTAGTTTGTTGAGGAAACCTGAACAAAGTAAACAAGATTACAACTTGCACCTGGCACATTGTTACAAATAAGCAGGGTTGTCGAAAACACATTGAACCTATAAATTACTTAATTTGACTATCCGTCCTCGGAATCGCAAACGTGGACAGCAACTTTCATCCTCAGTTTTAACCATTCGGCAAATGAAGTTCCGAAACTACTATCGCTTCTTCTTCTGGTGCCTCTAAGTTACCGGAGTTTGGCCGTTAACTTTGTGTACTCCTCTCGGTTCTGCGCCAAACGGAAGAGCTCCCCTGCATTGGCGATCCCGGTCCACTCTCGGATGTTTCGGAGCCATGACTATCGCTTACACACATAAAAATTATTTTTTATTTAACTACATACATAATTTCACCCAATTTTTAACCGACTTCCAGAAGGTGGAGGTTCTCAATTCATCATTATTATTTTTTTCATTGTTGTTCGCGCATATCTCCGAAGTTTGTTGACCGATTTTGATGATTTTTTTTTGCAAAAGTTTGTTAGCGAGATGGTCGCTTATTAATTAGGTGAAGATCTTATTCAAATTTTTGGAGATAAACGACGGAACTCTTCAAATGCGAACAGTACACATATTGTATTTGGTTATTTTTCGAAATATAAAAGAGAGATCGCAGGTCGGACATCTATATTTAATAATTTGATGTTGCTCTGGCTTAAAATATTAAAATCCACTTCATAAAATATGCCAACCTAAGCAGTAAATGGTAACACAGATCTATCATGAGGCATTATAAATCCACGAGATATAAAAAAATATAAAATTTAAGGCATAATTAAATAAAAAAGATGTGTAAGATTTCTTTTTTAATATTTGAAGATATTTTTTGAAACCTGACAACCCTATACATAAAAGTTCTATAAAGTTTTATAACGTAACCCACACCATCCTAGCTACTCCTGTAATACAGTTGCAGCTTCAATTAGTTTAACCATTCATCTGTTATACCTCCCAGTAAACTAGGTATTAAAGTTTTAAACTAATGACCCACCCTGACTTCGCTTCCGTGTAGACTATAGTGATTGTTTTCAGGCGCTTGTATCCTATATCTTTTACTTCCATACTAATATTATTGAAGAGGAAAGATTTGATTTTTTGTTTGTATAGCATAGGCTCCGAAACCATAGGACCGATGTGAATAATATTTTTACATTTAGAATCCTATATTATCCCTGATGAACATAGGGTATAGTGTATTTTCAAAACAGTTAGGGTTCCGTATACAAAAATCCGGGAATCCATATGTCTATTACATTATGTTACAACTAGAGGTCCCCTGCGGTTTTACCCGCGTTAATTTGAGGAAAAAGGTTATATTGAGTCTAACTTAAAATAAGGACACATGCTGTCGCAGACTTTTTTATAGAACTTTTAAAGGGGAACAATTTTGTCATACATGATTTTTGTGTTACTTTAACCGTTTACCCAGAGCATGCTTCGAAGCTCACAAATGGACTTTTTTTGCGAAGTGTTATGTTTTTGCAAAATTTTTCATCGATACTCCGCTCCTACTGGTCCTAGTGATTGTATATAGCCAAAAATATGTTATCAAATCGGACCAGTGTTTATGAGATTAGCGCGTTCCACCAAAAAAAACAAAAGATCAAATAAACACTACAGTCTTTTGATATTAGTAACTATATCTAACTACTCCTTTGGGTTAAATATGAAAAAGTAACGCGGCTACATTATTCATACCCGGGTATTAATAATTATCCAAAAAAAACACTTCTTATATCACAGCCTGATATAGTCTTGAATAAGAAGAATGCCCTGGATTGAATTTTTCAAATTACTTTTTGGATTAGACCATTCCCAAGATTCATACCATTCAAAAGTTATCATGAGTGCAATAATTATGAGTGGTAAAAGTTATGGATATGTACAAACCACTGCATCACTATAAACTTTTTTTCAGAGCAGAGAAATGGTGCATTCCGTACAACGGGTCCTAAACTACGCACCAAACTTTTCACTATCAGTTTAATAAATTTTCACTATATGCAGACAGTCATTGTGTATAATACAAGCTTGAGAACAAAAACAATAGTCTACACTACAACTCTACACCGAAGCGAAGCCAGGGCGGGCCACTATTATATGTGTATTATAATGTGAAAGTATGTATATTTGTTACTCAGTCACGCAAAACGGCAAAGCGGGGTGAGATGAAATTTGACGTGCTTTAAGAATATTTCCTGGATACTTTTTATCCTGGAAAAAATGGGTTCCTTATTAATTACAATATTAAGTACTAGCGGCGAATTCGTACGCGTGGATTTAGTTATTTGCACATACTTTTTGACCCCAAAAGGGGGTTTATTTCTAAAGATACATTATTAGAATACCTCTACACCATCTATAGAGCATACAATATGTTAAATTTCAAATCTCTTACTTCAAAAACATAGGACTTTCATACTAACTTCCAACCCCCGTATAACCCCCTTAGGGGTGGAGTTTCGTGATAATATGTGGCCTATACATATATTGACCCGACTTCTTAATATTATTCGTGCCAAATTTGAAGCAAATCCATGAAGTACTTTTTGAGTTTATCCCGGCCATACATACAGACAAACAGACAAAAAATCTAAAAATTATATTTTTGGCTTCCGTAACGATTGTAGATCACACCCCAAGTATTCTTTTAAAAAATATTCAATGTACAGTTTTGACTTTTCTACCATTTTATTATATGTATAGATTAACTTTACGAAAAATATATCAAACTGATGGTAAGAAACACATCGAATATCGTTGCGTAGGAGGCGAGTTTGAGGTTTATACTGGTACTCACATACCAACGTGGGATTTCATATTATTATTATGGATTTTTCTAAAAAAAACGATACGAAGAAATATCAAATGCCTCAAAAAGCACATTCAGATTGTTTACAGAGTCAAATAATTTCTGATTACAATGCAACAACAAACGTGACTAAAATATTTGGAAAACACGAATGCTCATGTCAAAATACAACACACAACTGAGTTTTTGGCAAGAAGAATTAGATTTTATCAGTAAAAAAAATAGTGTATATTTTCATATGTTGTACCTGTGAGATCGATATGCCTTAAGTCCACCAAATCTGTGACTATTGGGGCCAGACTTCTAGCATCCATACTCCCAGAGCTGGTCACAGCCAGATGTGTAATATTTCTGAACGTAGACACAAGCAGTTGGGCTCCCGTTATCGTCACCTGAAAATAGAAATGTCAATTAATTTATTTTACCAAATAGCTACGCAATTCTCTACCTTAAAACACGTTTTCGTTAGTGCTAATATTGGTTGATAAAAGTGTCGTAAGACGTTTTAAACAAGGAATTAATCCAACTGATGTCTTCATTATCAAAATTAATACGTAAATATTTATAGATAAAGTTTATAATGACATCAAACTGGTCAAAGAATAATTAAATAAGGAATTCAATTATTTTTTCACCAGTTTGGTGTCTAATCAAGCTACATCAAAGCATTAAAAATGAAAAATCCTTTTAGTGATGCCGATGTTTAAATTGGAGAGAATCAACTAAGAACAATAATTTCTTAGCTTAAACTTAGATCTCCTCACTCGTCGTTCGTCAATTGTATGTTCCCCACACAATTCTATATCAGCACTCATTATTTTCCAGATAGGCTGCAAGGGAAACGTAGAAAGGATCCAATCTTTAAAACCCCTAAATTGAAGACGAGTTTTCACACTGATTCTTTTGCTATCAGGCTGTAGCTTTATACAATAGAGTAAATAACTCTCATTTAATTTATTATATTACTAAATCGCAAGCAAAGTTAATCACTACCAAATGGCTTCAGAAATTAAATTACGACAAAACCGAGAAACTACTTAAACACGATTGTTAATAGAAAACTGAAAATATACTCTCATAGACATCCTCCCACACACGCACGCACGCACGCACACACGCACGCACGCACGCACACAGGCACGCACACACGCACGCACTCGCACGTACACACGCACGCACACGCACACTGACACACACACACATACACACACACATCCGCTCCCATATTTTCTTTTACCCATATGACTAACAGTCATATGTCATTTTCAACTTTTATACCTACTTTTTAACATCCAATCTTCGAAAGTATTTTTTTCAGGCCATTTAATATCCAAATTGAAAACCCGTCGGAGGGCCGGATGTGGCCCGCGGACCGTACTTTGCCCACCACGGGCCTAAACTGTTTATATGTATAGTCTTTTCAGTGTGTCGATCTATTATTATAGTACTCGTCCATGTTTCTGTGAGGTGGGACCTGGTGATCTATACTTCCGGCTACGGCCCCTCACAGATACTAGTTTTTCACAAATTCGATAACCAAGAACTTTGTACTACTTGCCTTTGTACTCCCATGATATTTTGTATTTATATGTTTGGGAAGAAAATAAATAAAATATATTATTTTATTATTATTATTGTTCACATAATATGACCTGCCAGAATATGTAATGATCAGTTTTTATACTACCGTCGTGCTCGGTCGGAACAGGAAAGGAAAAATATGTGTTCTGTGGAACATGGGCGTGAAAACATAATAAAACGATTGTTAGAGACTTTTGGATAAAAATACTAACAGCGCAGGCCTTAGATCGCCACTCCCTGTCAGCGTTAGCGCACGGACTCGCTCTTGCGCTAGCGCAACTAGCCGCTTCTGGCACCCGCCGCCTCTCCTCGGGCCGCTCTGTCAGACGCGTGTTGAGCCTATGCGACACAACTCGGATACCTGTAAATATACTCACAGCACAGGCCTTAGAACGCCATTCCCTGTCAGCGTTAGCGCACGGTCCCGCTCTTGCGATGGCGCACCTGGCCGCTACATCCAGCGGTCCGGCCGCCCATACCTGCTGCCACACCTGAGAACGCGTGGTCAGACGCGTGGTGAGCCGCGCCCATCGCCGGCACACACGCGATATGCGACGCAGCTCAGAAACCAGTATATGTATAATACTCACAGCGCAGGCCTTAGATCGCCACTCCCTCACAGCGTTGGCGCATGGTCCCGCTCTTGCGCTGGCGCACCTGGCCGCTACGTCCAGCGGTCCGGCCGCCCGCACCCGCCGCCACACCTCTGGCCGGGCGGTCAGACGCGTGATAAGTCGCGCCCATCGCCGGCACACACGCGACATGCGACACAGCTCAGACACCTGTAAATATAACACCATATGAGCCTATTAATGTACCCGCTCGCTGCTACCATTTTTATAGGGCAAGTATAGACACAACCGCAACGGCAAGCTCATAAGAGAACAAACCGAATTCAAGTAAGGACATAATTAAATGAATCTTAATCGCCAGCCCAATACCGGCTAAAGTTCTTGCTCAGGGTAGAGAGAAATTATCTTTCGGCGCCTTTTGAGTGAAGTTTTCATTTCACGTAAATTTTAATTTCAGCTTTAAAGTTCTTCGTATTTAGCTTTTCGGCGGCCATTGCTAGAGCGTATCTGAAACCAGTTCACTCACTCTCTCTCCTGTGTCAACTTAAAAATTTCTCCTCTACTGGAGCATAGGGAAGTATATAGACATGTTGGACTATAGCCCTCAACGCGGGACAACGAGTAAACTATCCCGACAGCAGAGCTAGTAAAACCATCTCACCTCTAAATAGGCCAGTATTCTCAGCCATATCGCGTCGTTTAACTCCCTTTAACTAACTTGTTGATTGTATGGTTGCCTTGATCTACTACTCAGTTCGCTGAGGTCCGCGGCATGAGAGAGAGTTTGTGGGCTCTAGTAGTGAGTGCATTTTCTCCCCATTACATACATGAGGCAGGCTTGTGCCCCTGCAATGGGTACTTTAAAAGCTGATAATGATGGTTCTAATTATCGCGATATCAGGGCTAAAAAACAATCTCACCTATTAATAGGACAGTATTCTCAGCCACATCGCGTCGCTCAACACCCTGTTGTCGCGTCTTTGTCTCGGTGGGCCGCTGTCAGTTAAGGAATGGTGGCCTTGGTATAGACTCAGTTCGCTGAGTTCTACATATAAAGAGTTGGTGGACGGAAGGGACAAACAATCTCACCTCTAAATAGGACAGTATTCTCAGCCATATCGCGTCGCTCAGCTCCCTGTTGTCGCGCCTCCGCCTCGGTGGGCCGCTGTCAGCTAAGGTATGGTAGCCTTGGTCTAAACTCAGTTCGCTGAGTTCTGCGGCTAGAGAGTTGGTGGGCTCGGGGGGCGGAGGGGGCCGCCGCCGGGCCCCACCGCACACTCCGGGGCCCGAGCATCCCCCGCTCGACATGGCGATGGGACCCTGGAACAATAACAGTAGATTATGCACCAACAGGAAAAAAACGTATATATTATAGTGTATTATAACCACGGACAGCATATTGAATTCTGAAGAAGGATAGGAGGAAGACAAGGGTTTGTGTGAAGATGATTTTTTGGATCATCATTTGTTTTACTTTAGTTTAGTATTGTGAAAGTGGTAGCGATCGTTCTCTTAAAACTTAAGTTTCATTTGTATGTATATGTGTACCTGGAATCAACCTGATTATATTATAATTTCCTTCTTATAAGTAATAAAAATCTTGCAAATTCTATGATTCTCCAGTAACGGAATGAACGGTAACGAATTTAGATTACCGTTGAGATTTTAATTATAATGAATATTTGCGAGTGACGAAAAATACAGTAAATATATTGCCGAAAGTAATCTAATCTAATTTGTCTAAGAAAAAAATTTTTTGTAGCTTGTAGAGCTACAAAAAAAATGGTGGAAAAAATGCTAAACGGTACACTTGTTTAGGTACTGATTTAAACTTTGTAATGTAAGTGAATGCCTGAAGGGTAAGCGCAATGAGAAAAGGGTTTTGACTTGACAGACAGACGGCCACAAAGTGATCCTGCGAGCTTTTCTTTTTTTCCTTTGAGGTACGCAATCCTTAGAAATTGGAATAAATATAAATGGCAATTCTATCTTTACCGCCTAAGCGTTTTTACAACCCTTTTGGACAAGAATAGACACAATGTTATCAATATTTTGACACGCAAACATGTCCGAGTTGGTATGTGCTAACAACTGCAAATGCCAAGTCTAATTAATTTTTAGTCACCCATCCAGTGAGCAGCCCTTGCGAAAGTTGCTTAAATTCCGTGATCGCAGACTGAACGTGATAACTTCTGCACAATCAACACCATATGAAAATCTAATAAACATTGAGCTCTTCATTTAATGAATGACTCCCACAGAAAAATTATTCATTCATTTTATTCCTCAAGAAACAAGATGTTAAGGGTTTCGTACCTGGAAAGGAAAAAAAGAATCCCTAGTACATATATTATGGGATCACTTTGTTGTCCGTCTGTCCGTCCGTCTGTCTGTTTGACAAGACCCTTTATCGCAGAAACGCATGGACGTATCGAGGTAAAATTTAAACCATAAACTCAAGTCTACGATCCTTTGAAGATTAACAAAACAAACTTCTAAGTTAACGCAAATAAAAAGATATGGCCATGTCGGTCATATATGTTGCGTAGTCCTACAAATTTGAACGCAACCTTCGTTCCGACTCGCACTTGTCCTGTTTTTTATATACTTATCTATTATCACATATTATGTGCCAACTTAGTTCTTTTTTTTTGCTTCGGAGCAAAATTTGTTTTGATAGCAAATATCATGTGACTTTTTCAACATTTCATATTTTTTTCATTATTCATATAAATAGTCAAATATTCCAGTGAATCTATAATGTTATCATATATTTATCTGCTGAAGAAAAACGTAGAAAGCTTTATTAGTTAGTTCTACAAAAGTCTCTGAGACCTATTTCCATGAGCTTTGCTCTAAGTTCATGAATTAAGTATTTGTGTCATGATAATATTTTCGAAGCCAAATATATAATGAATAGCACGGAAAGTCTTTTTGTTACTCACTTAAGTCATACTGACCTTACCTTAATGTTCTTTCAATATGTTTATATTTTTAATATAGGTAAAATATTATAGTATGATTATACCTAATTACTTACACTAAATGAGTTTATAGCAAAAGTGAATTTAAATAAAATCTTTTTATATTAAAATATACTTAACGTTATGTAACCATTTTATTTTTTATCTATTATATCTTTGTTACATAATCGCTAATTAACACAAGTACGTAATAGTAATAGTATGAAGTAATTCGACTAATATTCATACCAAACACTAAAATAAAGCCGACATTTACACACATAAACCCATTCGTAGCATAATTATGTAGCCCGTGAGACCGTGGCATAATTACTTTGTGTCACTACAATACTATGTTGAACCTGATGTAGGGCGTGCAAGACAATAGGAATGCCACGGTATCTATTAATCTAGGTTTGTATTTAAATGAATTGTGTAGGAATAAAGGCTGTGAGTTCGAATAACACACTCTTAAACGTACTAAGTTCCAGATTACATAAAAACTAATCTTTGCGAGGTTGCTTCAAACGTATAAATTTTGCTAAACGAAAATTCTGTTGCCTTGCCTTTGTGTTCCCAAACCACCAGTTCAAGACTTTTGTAATTAGTTGTATGAAGAACAAGCACCAGATACTTCATAGCACAGAACTGTACGCTATGTCGTTGCTAAAATATCAATATTTTATTTAAAAAATAGAGATGATGACGGGGTAAAGTAAACGAAAGTAAATAAAACACGTTTCGCATCCTTTCCAGGATACGTCGTCTGAATAATGATTTTTTATAATTTTCTAAAAAATCCATTTTTCTATTTTTTATAAAAAATCATCATTCAGACACATCATGCAAACGTCAAATAAAATCAGTGCATTTTTACCGTTGCAAATAGTTTTATTTAATAAGTTATGTGCGTGAAAGCCTAAGAAAGAAATACAAACGAAAGAATATTTAGCCCGTCAGTTAGATTATCAGAAAATAATAGACACTTTCTTTTTTGTAATCAACCAAAAAGTGACAAAGATAAAGTGCGTCAAAGTTTGGGAGTCCTCACTCCGTCAGTGAAGTCACTTCTAAGTAAAAATTGCACCAAGACGTTACGTCATGCGATATTCCAAATCAATATATCTCTTTAGTGTTTCGATTATGCGAAAAGAGAATAATAAGTATCCAATACTTTTTAATAATCTACCAGGTAGATAAAGAAAGAAGTCATCATCCCTATTATTTTATATCAGCAGAAATACAAAATATTTAATGTTGTTTACATTAGATAAATTTGAGTCATTGTCTAAAAAAATGTAAGTTTTCAGCCAAGAAACTTAATAAAAAACAACAGCATTCTAATTTATACAGCACATGGCACATGATTTGTTTTTACCAATACCTTGACAATATCCATCAGCGATTGATCCCAAATTGAGAGGCTGTCTTACGTAGCTACGTATCAATTTATATTGGAAAGTCGTGACTTCGGGTTGCTTTTCCGCCGAGAAAATATCTTAAATTATATTATGTATTTATACCAATGCACACAATATGTCACACCTGTTTCCAGAAGGGTAGTTAGTTACAATTGATTTTCGTGAGCTATGATATTGACACGTTTCTTTTGTTTATTCAACATAAGTACTGTTAATAAGTGTAATAAATATTAAATCGTATTGTATAATAAAAAAGCATTCTTCAATCACTGCATATTTCTCGATTGTGAATAACAGTATGGGAAAAATCATGTAAGGATATAACTTTAAGTAGATAATCATTAATTGATCACCAGTTATTCTAAACGCCAAATAAATAAGTACCTAGCACTAATTTTGATATTTTGCTGCTGAAGTTTTCACAAAAGCCGTTACTATTATTACACATAAGACTACCATCATAGATATATTAATAAAAGTTACTATAATTCTATTATTAAAGATAACGAATACACCGAAACTTCTAGGCACTCTGAGTTCGTGAGTCTGTCAATCTCATCCCACATCTTCGTCGGCAGTCCGCAATTAAATGCAATAGGCGACACAATAAACGTATATATCAAGCCCTTTGTCGTCGACTCCGGTCATGCAATAGTCATCTGATGAAATCATACAGTCAACTAAAAAGGACTACGCGATTTATTGCTCTACCAGCGTACAGACCCGCATCTAGGGATATTGGCGCCCAGGGGCATGCTCCAATTATGCTTCCCATGAAGGATAATATTATTTACATTACAGTCCCAAGAGGCATAATTGCACATCATGGTTTATTTATTATTTACTTATTCCGTTGTTTGATAAGAAAAGCATTCGAAATGCTTGCTGTCGACTTTCGCGCGTAGCTTTATCAGCTAAAGTAAAGAAGAGTGAAGAGAAATGTTAAAATAAAAAAGCACCACACCTTGCTTTGCATGATTAAAATTTGCCAAAGAAGAAAATGCATATTTCCAAATATTTTGTTACGATAACTTTCTAATTTCAGATTCCTGAAAGCAACTTCAAGCCAATCCTATTAGAAATACACAGTATAAAGATAGGTATGCCAACCGAGAGCGCGTCGAATCGGTCTGTCTATACTAATCTCATGGGGAAAGCGTTACTTTGTGCTACTTTTCACAAGCCCTAGATACGGCACTGGCAGATTCAGTCTGTACATATCTATGCCAATATGTTGCCCCTTTGATCTCGACGGCGATGTAATAATTTTCTATTTTTAGTGGAGTTATATAATTTACTATCCCATTATCTATAGTTAAGTATAAGACGAAACTATAAATAACATTCGCAACATAAGGCAAATAGAACAACATTCTCTACTATCGCTATTTTAGGCTTACATTATTCAAGCTTCATTATTCATACGTTAACGGTGTACTTAATTTGGGACACATACATTAAGAACATCAATCGACATATCAAATACTACTTAAATCTTTTTGAGATATTATTCATTCAAGTCATGAAAATTACCTAAAGCTATCTAGTAATATTATTCAAAAGTTGTTAGCTTTTTTTTAGGTATGAGTACTCGATGAAAAAACATGCTCACTAACTTTTAGATAGTGATTTCATGAGCCTGATTTGTATAATTCCACCACAGACATACCTAGATCGAAATATATAACGCAAGTGTATATACTTCACGTGCCTAAAGGGAGTTCAAAATTCTTACTTTTACGCTAATTTATTTCTTCGACCGTTGTCGATGCCGGACGTCAATTGCAATGTAACTATTATTATCTTAAACTTTAAAATTGATATAATTGCAATAGGTGTCCGGAGCCCATGCTTTTTCACTACTTTTTTGCTCTCATTAGTACTCAAAACCTGACACACTCAGTTTCCATTCAATAACATGCGGCAGCTACTTCAA